CAGGGTGAAGGTTAACAAAACTGGCAGTGAGGGTAGTAGTTTGGAGGCTAAAAGAAAGTAGGAATAAGGTGCTGTGGAGGCCCAATCTTAGGTAATGTTGTCAGCCAAGAGAAAAAGAGAATAATTTGACATTTTGAAATAGAATGAATCAGCAGAAGGACAAAGGAGGCATCTGGCTTGGTAGATCTCATGTTCGTCCACATTCTCAGGGAACATAGGAATTAGGCAGATGGAGAGAAAGTGGTGGACAGATTCTTAGGTTAATTTTAAACATTTTCAACTTGATGTGCCCATGAGACAAGCATACAAATATTTTGACTCATATATGAGTAGAAAAAACTGTTGTTAAGGAGAAATAAGTTTAAAGATTTATTTTTTATGGGAGACATTTGTGCATACTTTTATATTAATGAAAAGAAGCAGCAGAAATGGAGAGATTGAGAGTAGAGGATCACCTAGTGTGATTTTCAGTATGTGCATATGCTTGATTGTATCCAACACGGCTCTGAAGCTCTACTTCCTTTTCTTCATTCTTTTTTTTTTCCATTTTCTTACTTCATAACTTCAATGGGCTTATTTTCAAGTTCATTGATTCTTTCGTTGGCTAAAGTGTGATTGATGAAATTTGATCTCTGAGGATGTGAGACAGAATAAAATGCGGAGTGGGAGTGAAAGAATGGACCTTATTTTAAAAAAGGAGATAAAATTTGTTCTTCTGAGGTTACTGAGCAAGAGGTAAGGATTGGAGATATTGTAGAAATTTATGTGCATCAAAAATTATAGAGAGCTAGCTGGGTGTGGTGGTGCATGCCTGTAATCCCAGCACTCAGGAGGTTGAGGCAGGAGGATTGCTGTGAGTTTGAGACCAGCCTGGGCTGCATAGTGAGTTCTGAGTCAGTCTCAACTACATAGCGAGACCCTGTCTCAAAAAACCAAACCAAACCAAACAAAAAACTATAGAGAGCTGAGGGGACTCCGGTGTAATTGCTCTTTTCTTTTTGAAAGAGAAAAGAAGTTTATTTGCAAGGATGGAAGAGTCCAAGAAGAGTGGGCTAAAGTAGAAGCCTTGAAGAGAGCAGTATAGACTTGTGAGATGTAGAATTCTCTGACTTATTTTAGTACTTTGCATCTATAATCCCACTGCCTTCCAGCTTTCATGCTTTGTGTTCAGATGTCAGTTGTTAATCTTTTGGAATGACCCTTTCACGTGATAACTTGCTTTTCTCTTGAAGATTCTCCTTTTATCTTTGAATGGTTTGATTGTGGTATGCCTAGGGTGGCAGTAGTGAACCTATGGTATATATACTACAGCAGGCTGTTTGTATCGTTGAAATCTCTAAGAGGTTAGCCATCATTGGTTTAGGAGGAACTTTGAGTTTATTCCGCTTGAAATTCATTGTGTTCTCTGAATATGTAAATTAAAGTTTTTCATTAAATTTTGAAAGTTTTTCAGTATTATTTCTTCAGCTATTATTTAATTGCTTTTCTCTCTCTTCACCTACTGTGATTTTCATTATGTGTGTATGCTTGATTGTACCCAACATGACTCTGAAGGTCTACTTCCTTTTCTTCATTCTTTTTTTGTCTTCCCATTTTCATACTTGATAACCTCAGGGAGCTTATTTTCAAATTCATTGATTCTTTTGTTGGCTGAAACCTGTGTTGAGTTTCAATGAATTCTTAATTTCATTGATTGTAGTTTTCAACTCTAGAGTTCTGTTTGGTTCCTTTTAAAATAATTTGTTTTTTATTGAATTTCTGTATATAATAAGGCACCATTCTCATACTTTTTTGTTAGTTATTTCCATGTTTCCCTTTAGTTCTTTGATTGTATTTAAAATAGTTTAATATCTTTGTCTAAATCCAACACCTTTGCTTCCTTGGGGATAATTTCTCTTGACCATTCCCACCCCCACCCCCCAATGCGAGAGACACGTTGCTCTGCACGTCTCACTATTTTTAGTTGATAACTGGAATTTTGAATAAGTTGTCCTTGTTTTTTACTTAGTGATTTTTCTAAACTAGCTTGGTGGTGTTTATATTATTTATAATATGTGGGCCTTGAACTTGAAGTATCTGTTTTACTATCTTATCAGTCAGCCAGTGATGGGACAGAGGCTTCCTTAAGTGCCCAAGATTAAGAATTCTTGTTTTTGCTGAGGCAGAGGCCCCACCTGCCTGTAAGTGCGTGGCTCCCACACTCACAGCTTTGACTTAGCCTTCACTGATTGCTTTTGTGCAGGGCCTCGTGGTCTTCCAGAGATGAGACGGAAGACCTTGTCAGGCCTTTCCCGAACAGATGCACAGCAGAGGCCTGACCATGACCTTGGAGATACGATAGTGTTTTGCACAGCCGGCTGTGCGTGTCATTCCCCAGGTGTTTCTTTTAAAATATTTGCTCAGCTGTTGTATATCTTAACTGTTTATTACCTTAAGGAGTTACAGTGTTAAAAAAATTCCCTGTGATATTTTTCAACTAAATCTCCCTATGGAGAAGAAGTCTGTTTGCGTTGGGCAAGGTCTAAATCAGGTGGAATACAGACTAATTTCACAAATGGGATTTTTCCAAAGACCCACCAGCAAGGTAAAATCACAACAGTTACCAGGGAATTGGGTATTGGAAGAGCTCCAACCCTGTGCTGACCACTCCAGAGGCTTCTAGGTTGTGGCTTCCCTGAGCTTGAGGGACTAGTGGTTTTTTGTGTATCTTGGAGCCAAGGAAAGAAAGAAAAAGTGGGGCATGTTAAAATACCAAAGGCTTATTGTTGAAACACTGGATCATTTTCATTGAATAAATACATACTTTAGCTACTTTTGAGGGCTCTGGAAAGGTTGACTGGGCTGACTGTTTCTAGGGTATCCCACTAGTTTTACAGGGAACAGGGTTTCTAGAGGCCCTTACTCTGCTGTTTTTGCTGATGCCAGTCATGAACAAAGATTAGAACTAGCTGCTTTGTGAAATAAAACAGCAGGCTACAGGTTAGAGACTATAGAGAAAGGCGAATGTTCCAGTCAGGGTGGAAGGCAGCAGATTAATAGTGGTATCAATCTATTCAGTGCATGTGTTTTCCAGGAGACCCAGCAGATAGGGGTAGAGGTCGAGAAGGAAGATAGTGAAGTTGAACAAGAATCAGAGTTGACAGATCGAGCAGAGAGAGGTCATAGGGCCATAAAGTTCTGAGCACTCGATAGGTAAGGAAGAGAAGATGGAACTTAAGGAGTTTACAGAGGGACTGTGTTTCAATAAAGAAATAAGAAAACTGAGAGGAAAATTGCGATCAGACACTCACGTAGTCTGAATTTTAAGGATTTAGAGATAGAACCATTGAGACTTGGCAGAATTCTACTTCTCTGAAGTTACATGAAAAATGAGCAGTGAGGTTAAGTGTTGTGTACTGCACAGCAGAAAACGAAATCGTGTTTCTCCTTCACCATTGTGCAGTAGGCTCCAACAGCATGGCCACCTCAAAGAGGTTCATTTGCGCTTTCTGTTAATTACAGAAGAAAGATTAATTCTCCACTGAAAGGCATTAGTAATATGAGTGAGATGTCAAAGGGAACAGAGCTCCAAGACGTAGAGATTAGTGGCAGAAAGGACATTGCTACAGTAGGACTTTAAGGAAAGCCTCTCTCGTTCGTGACGAAGAGGAATGGGAGATGGTTCCATTCAGGTTAAATGGAGGGTGCAGGAGGGGAGAAAATAGCAGTGGATGAAGATAGGAAGGTTGGGACAAAATACGGAATAGCTTGAAAAACAAGCTGTAAGAAATGTAGATACATTTGTACAGGGACTTCCAGCCCCAGGAACTTTTCCAGTGGTCGTTTGATGTGCAAGCTCAGTTTACCATAGCAATATAATGACGGTAAGTGGCAGGGAAAGACTGGAGGGCGACAGAGACCGCAGACCAAGGGACCAATCAGCTTTGGAAAAACTGAACAAGGGCTATGGAAATGGAAATTAGAAGAGCCAGAAGATTTGAGGATATAAAACAAAATGAATTTAGTGATCAATTAGAAGTATTAACTTGTAATTATTTGAATTCAAGCTTTAACAAGTTAAAAGTACAGAAATTTTGATATAATTAAATCTACATAAACAGGGCTATAGTTTATTTCCTTTGTTTTAGCAGAATATTTATTCCAGATTAAATGTCGACTATTTGAATTTTAGTATCTTTGAAATAGTATTCTCAATAAAACATTAGACATTTGGAAATGGAATTTATTCTTATTCACCACAAGGTTTTATCAAGGTGTGAATTCCATTATTTGAATAATATCAGGAAGTTAAAAGGATTCCAGATATGTGTAAAATTGTGGAGACTGGCCTGCCGTTCTTGTAGCCTGTAACTGATTTTAGTACTGTACATAAATAGATATTGACTGCCCTCTAGTGGCAAGTATGTATGTATATATGTGTGTGTGTGTGTGTGTGTGTGTACACACATGTATATAAACAGTATGTTTATATAGTCTATATAAATGCACAAATTTATTATATAAATATAAAATACATAAATTTATATGTGATACATGCAATTTTATGGTATAAATCGTCATAATTTTATATAAATGCATGTACTATGTGTATATCTCGGATTGTCTGGGTCTTTTAAAAACATTTCTGTGGACCCAGGGATCTAGGGGTTCCTGTTCATTTCTTAGCAGAGCACTTCAGCTCTAAGCGTCTCCTTTCCAGCCAGCCTCAAGTTCATTGGATCTTTCATGACTGAACCACCAAAGCGACTGGTGGGGTTTCCACCGAGAGATAATTCCCTCCCTACAGGGATCCTTGAGGGAAGGCTGCCTGCCAGGTTGGTCAGCGTCCCTGAGTACCACCCCAGCCTAGTCCGGGGAAATCCTGCACTTTGCACTGTGTGCGTGCAGAAGTTGCGCTTGCCGAGAAAGGCACTTCGTAGAAGTGGAACAATGGGTGGCACTGCAGTTTAATCGTCTTCTGAATCCTCCCTTCTCTCTGAATGTTCTTCTCAACCTCACAGCAGCCAGAGCAGAGGTGTGCAGCAGCACTGGTGAGAGGTTCCGCATCTTCCGTGCTGAGAAGACGTATGCCGTGAAGGCAGGACGGTGGTACTTCGAGTTCGAGGCTGTCACTGCAGGGGACATGCGGGTCGGCTGGAGCAGGCCGGGCTGCCAGCCCGATCAGGAGCTGGGCTCGGATGAGCGCGCATTTGCTTTTGATGGCTTCAAGGTGAGTGAGTGGCTTCCTCTCTAGGCTGCCCTTCCTGCCCCTGCTATACCGTCAGGGACCAAGAGGTCAGCACTGTCCACAGGCGGCATGGGCTTAGATACAGAATGCCTAGGGGCACTTTTGTCCTGGTAGTCCTTGAACTCTGCCCCACCCCACACATATGGTGAAATTCACCCAAACGTTACTAAAATGGTGAGTCGTTTCGTTTGTCAGAAGTGTTAAGATACATGTGTGAGGTGTGATCAAAATGCACAGTGAATGTTTAAGTTACTGATTGTTTAAATAAAAGACAGTCCCATGAATCTCCCTCAAAACACTCCCCCGCAGTTTGAATACTCTTATCTCATGGTTCTTGGCACTTTTCGAAGCAGGTCTGATTAGCCTCTTTCCTGAATATATTTCATTGCATTGTCTTGGCTGCCTTGAGTTCCTGGATTGATTCAAAACATTTATGTTTCTTGGTCACTTTGATTTTGTGGAAGTTACTGAGTGCCAGATCTGGTGGATAAGGACTCATTGTAACGATGGCCTTTCTGTCGGATGCCACTCAGCAGCAGCATTCACTGTCCTTTTGATCACGCTTTATAATGGCACCATGAAAGAGGACTTCCAGAACTGCTTCAGAAAGAACCATAGGAGAAGTGTGTTTGAATAGAGGAGTATTGTTTACTGTTTTTTTTGGGGGGTGGGATTATTGGCGATGTGTCTTTTGCTATAATCAATATTTTAAAATCTGTTATTGAGTAAGAGGTAGAGAATGTGGGAAGAGGAGTCTTTGGTTTAACTCCTGGCTCCCAAAAGAAGTTCACTTCTTTTGAAGTAGGTAATGTTTGAGGGGGAAAAGGCCAAAAGAGATTTTCAGCATAGTAATGGTGGCGGTTAGAGCCACTCATTTATCAGTGAAGGGCTGTGTAAGGCAGGAAGACCTAATAGGAAAGGTCAGATGTCTTCCTGGCACAAACATCAAGAAAGGCAGAATACTGGCGAGGAAGAAAGAGAACAGTATACTTTTCTTGAGCGCAAAGGTGCTAGGTAACTAGGAGCTTTATAAAAGGACAGGAGTTAGTGTAAGCCAAGAGAAGCTGTCATCTTGCTAAGCTTTGTGAAAAGGAGGATGTGCCTCCTATATGTGTGATCGGGCTGGGACTGAGAGCGCTGTTTCAGAAGGCGTGAGAGAGAGCGAGTGGAGTGGGACGTGTGCAGTTCAACACCTGGGGGAGTGGAATGATGATTCTGTAACCAACATTAGAATCACTTTGGATTTATAATTAAAATGGTTCTATGACCTGTCTTTATTCACAGACAATTTTAAATTCTGGTTTTATAAGCCCAGGTTATTTTGCATTTGCTTTTCCATAATGCATTAAATTGGAATTTTGTAATCCTTTATATACAAGAAAAAAAAGTCTCTGGGGCCGGGGATTTAGCTCAGCGGTTCGGTGGCCCGCCTCGCAAGCGCACGGACCCGAGTTCGATCCCCGGTACCAAAAAAAAAAAAAAGTCTGAACATTCTCCTTAAATTATTATCATACCTGTTACAGAAAATGTGCATCCGTTGACACAGTGAGTCCATGCGAGGCTTTGTGTCGAGTAATACCCAATGGTCTGCAGAAGCAGTGAGCGCTAGCTGCACAGAAGTCCAGGGTACAATGATAGCTTCCAGAGGGGAAATGACAGGAGCAAGAGGCTCTGGCTTCGGTGTGTAGTTGCCCAGTTGGGTGGATATAGAGAATGATAGGGGTTGGGAATATTTTCACTGTAGAGGAATGGTGGTTTGAGGAAATAGACACGTTCAGACTAACTTAGGTGTTATATGCTGTATCCATGTGATGAAACGTCACCCTGTAAAGAGGTACTACTTATATTTGCATTCATCGTTTAGCAAGTAAATTTAAGTAAAAAGATAACCACTAAAAATGCTTTAGGTGATGTTACTTCGACTCACAGTTTTCATTTTCCACATTATTAGTAATTTACATTTCTTCAGCTAGGGGGGAGATGATCAGGTGCTTATTTCATTATACACTAAATTAGTGTTTACAGATTATTTTAGATATGTAAAATTCTTTAAAAATTAAAAATTAATGTATACATGCTCATAATCACAATAGGATAGTCACTTTAAATTGACAAAATTATATATTTTGTATTGTTTTATTGTCTGAGTTCCTTTATTGAATTTGTATTCCTTTTCATATGAAGGGAGAAAGCTATTTTCATAGTAAAGAACATTGGAATAAACAGGCAGAAATTGCCACTTGAGTATTTCAGGTGTGCAATGTCCCGTATGGGAAAGCGTTTCTCAGCTAGAAATTAGGACATTTGGCCCTCTGTGTTCTGAAACATCACTTTTCCTCAATCTGTTTTTTATTTCCAAAGGGAAAAAACTTGACTTTTTTGGGGGGAGTCAAAATTAGCAAAGTTTATTTAAATTTTGAAAAAAGAATGAAATAAAAGGCAGCTTTAGCCGTATTCTTGCTGAAGATCAAATTAAGGAAGTAGAGGAAGAACCCCTTCCAGCAAGTTAAAGTATGCTTTAGTCCCATCACACCACAGACGAGGAAGCATCCTCGATTTGGGGACAGGCATTAGGTGGGGCACGAAGGAGTGTAAGTAGGTTCTGAATTTTAATGCCTTTGGTCATTTATTTTGTTAGGTTCTTTTAAAATACAGTGTTATTGTAGGAAGAATTATGTTCTTGTTTGGTGTTGATAACCATATACCCCTACATATCAGTCCGCAGTGAAGGTGATGCTTAAGCAAGAATCTAAAAGATTTCTCTGGCAAAACCATTAATATAAATAATACCATATTTGTAAGCTAGTAAACTATACTTCTAGATCTAGCATACAAGTTTATCAAAAGTATTTCAAATGCATTTGCAATATGAGATTTCTTTTATGTATATAAAGAAGGGTAGCATCTGTATTCAGTTTGCTATTAAGGCAGATATCTTAAGACTATTTTTTTTGATTTGACTGAAATCTTTCTGGGTTTTAATATGTAACTGAAAAGCTTCTAGTTTTCCATTTTATTAAAATAGCATTCCCATGGGCTCTAAGAGATAAAATTTTATTTTGAAATAGATAAAAATTATAAAGTTCTTTTTCTTTTTCTTTCATTAAGTTTATTGGTACATTTTAGGTATACAGTACAGTTACACTCATCATTGGGATCTTGGACCTTTACAGGATGTATCCTGGTTCTTAATTTTTCCCCATTCCCCCGCCCTCCCTTCTATAATGTTATTTTCAGTTGTAGATTCCCATCTTTGAAAATTTTTTTTTTTTTGTATTGGTGGAACTGCAGAAAAACCACCTTTTTACTGGGCAGTTGTCATTGCAGAAAATAAATAAATACATGAATAAATGTATGAATGATAAATGTGCATCACTTTTCTTTTGGTTGAAAGCATGCAGGGTTAGGTTTTAAAAATACCAAACTCGAAATCATGGTGTGGCATTTGAGTTTTCTCAAGATTTAGTAACGTACCGTGTTAATATCATGGACAGAATTCCCATTGTTTCCATCAGACGTGGGCTATTGATACACACTGGTAACATACTGGCTAGAGTTCATCCGAGGGCTAAGTTAATAGAAAGAGTTTTGTCAGTTGAGATGGGGGTGCTGCGCCCTTGCCTGACTCTGTAACAAGGACTCTTCTGTCCCCTGTAGGCTCAGCGGTGGCACCAGGGCAATGAGCACTATGGGCGCTCCTGGCAAGCAGGTGATGTTGTGGGCTGTATGGTTGACATGAACGAACACACGATGATGTTCACGCTGAACGGTGAAATCCTTCTTGATGACTCGGGTTCCGAACTAGCTTTCAAGGACTTTGATGTTGGTGATGGTAAGTGTGCTGCATTCGGTGTCATTTTGAAGTCTGTTTGCCCTGATGCTTCGTAACCACCCGTCTTTGAGTGTGACTGAGCAGATGAGCTGCTGCTGTAAATCACCAGGCGCCATGTGGCTGATGTGATCAGAAGCCCTTGAAATTGCTTTCGCAGAAATACTATCTGTATCACTTAGCCAGGATTTTGATAAGGTGGAAATAGCTTTGATGAGTGAAGAAAACAAGCAGCAGGCAAAGGGATGTGCTCCACGATTGTGACATTTTCATTTAGAACCTCCCTGGCTAATCTGTGTCTGGTAGCTTTTTATGTTCACTTCACAAAAGCAGGATGAGAGCTGACCACGTGGGTTCCTCATGTCAGAAGCTGAAGGGATAGAGAGAAATAAAGCCCTGCCTGGTGGTGACTTGCCAGGAGAGACTGACGTGTGTATAACTTCCCTTCAGTGGGTCAGCGAGACTACAAAGAAATGCAGAAAGATCTGTTTAAACGCAGTGCAGAGAGTCAATATTTCTGTGCCACGATGCTGAGATGGCCAGGAGCAGGGCTGTGAGGGAAAGATGGGGGCATCGGCAAAGCCAAGGCGAAGGCAGTTCGTCAGTGCGGCCCTTCCAGTAGCAGCCAGTGGCTGCCTCTGGAGCTTTTTAAGTTTAAATGAAGTGAAGTTAAAAACAGTTTTTCAGCTGTACTAGATGCGTTTTAAGTGTCGAAACATTCAGTGTTGCACCGATGCTCCTGCTGGGCAGTGCAGGTGTAGAACATTTCCATGATCACAGAAAGTTTCGTTGGACAGCGTTGCTCTGGAGCACATACACCAGATAGTACTTAATAAAAGCATTATAAAAATAGTGCGTTCCCAGATGAGCTAAGACACTTTAAGAACTTCTAAATGTATGCTGTGATGAATGGCATATTTGTATGCATATATAAATATACATGTGTTTGCATATATGTAGTCTTGGATTTTAAGCCCTCAATCAGAATTTAAATATTCTATAACTCATCACTGAGCCTTAGAACTTTAGTCAGTTGTTTCATTAAATTGCATTCAAATATTGAGCAAAGTTTTCAGTAGATAGGCCCATAATTTCCTAAACACAGATTGCAAAAATAGTGGGAATTTTGCATTTTTATTGCTCAGTTTCTATTTTAAACACGTGTACTTCTGGGGGGTGAAGTTGGCACTGTAACCTTCCCCACTCTGGGTGTCAGAAAACCAGGACTGGCTGGGAGCAGGACTTTTTCTCACTGTTACCATTTGTGTTGCCTACCACTGTGGATATGACCTGAGGTTGTGTTTTTTAACTGCTTTTATTTAAATACTTGTCCACTATGCTTCCCCGCTTGGGAAGCTGAAGATACCACAATGCATCCGTGAGCTCTGTTTGTGTGTAAGATACCGCAGTGCATCCGTGAGCTCTGTTTGTGTGTAAGATACCGCAGTGCGTCCGTGAGCTCTGTTTGTGTGTAAGTGTCACAACGCATGCATACGTTCCCAGGAGGCCCATCCACGTGAGCAATGCTGGTGGCACAGCTCTGTTGCCCAGAGCCAAGCAGCATGGCGATGATGAGACAGGGTCTGAAGCAAGTCATGTATAAACAACTCTGTTTATGCCTTTACCCTTCATTCTATAGAGTTTTTTAAGTTTAAAAAATGACTTTCACCTCATGTTGATACCTGTGTCATAGTTAATGCGATTGTCTGAAAATGTTGTGGTTTGCCTTGTTGGACTTCTGTTGGAAGTTTTGGAGAAGTATTCCTTTTTTTTTTTTTTCCGAGACAGGGTTTCCCCATGTAGCCTAGTCTAGCCTTGAACTCACTGTGTATATAATCACGCTAGCCTTGAACTCACAGTGATCCTCCTGCCTCAGCCTCTAGAGTGCTGGGATTACAGCGTGTGCTGCCATGCCCAGCAGGGGAAAGTAGTCTTTTGGTCTCCAAAGCAGATTATAAGCCTTACATAGCTGTTAATTTAGTAGATAACATAGTCAAACATGTTTTTACTACATTTGTACAGTTTATACAACTAAAATGATAACCTGTTGCATGTAAGCTTTTAGTTCAATATATGAAAAAGAAGAAATCACAGAAGTGTTTGAAAGACTGATACGGTCATCCAGTTAAATTCAGTTGGAGATCTAGCCACTCAGCTGGATCTGGGTAAGCCTAGGGTTACTGTACAAATATGCCAGTAGGCCTTTTCTAAGAAGCTTCAGCTTTCTTCCCCCAAAAGGGGACCACACACTTAACCCTAAAGGTCACATAATAACTGTGTGAAGAGCACATTGCTCAGAAACACTGGTTTCTAATAGAGCAGTGTGATTCCTTCAGCTCTTAACCTCTTGCAAAAGACTAGGACTTTACATGGTCAAGATCAAGAGCATGACTGAACTACCTACTGGAGGAAATTTTCAGGGACTAAAGGCTACTTTCTTTGTGGCAGATCCTCTTTAGAGCTCTTCCCTCTAGCACTTTTTTTCCTGTAAATTTCAGAGTATCCCAGAAGAAAGAAAGAGGATTAATTGACTCTGATTGTGATGTCAACAATTAATATTGGAGAGCAGATCATCCTCATCTTTTCTTTCCACTCTTCTGACAAATATTCAGAATAGGAAGTGGTGGGAGCCCAGGGAAAGAAGCCTTTAATGCCCACTGCTGCAGGCAGAATTATAAGATTGCCCGCAGGAGCCCTGCCTGTGGTATAGACATCACCTTGCATAATCCCGTCCTCATGCGCATCAGCAGAATTTGAAGGGATAGAATATGATGGAATGTCGCTATCCTAATTATTGTAGCAATCAGTTGTCTTTGTGTTAACCAAAGAGAAATTACCTGTGTGAGATCTCAAACAGGACTGAGCTTTACCTGAAGTCAGAAAGATTTAAAATGGTGAATGAATTCTCTTACTAGACCTGGAGGAGGGAACTGTTATAGTACGGAGATGGCCTCATAGTGGGGAATCTATGGACTGGCCCTGACTGGCACCGTCTCCAGCCGATGGGTGGCCAGAAGACAGAGAGCTCAGTTCTTCAATTGTGAAGTGCTGAATTCTTTGAACAATCAGTGAGCTCAGAAGCTGATTGTAAGACCATGATGAGAGAATATAGCCCAAGCCAACACCTTGGTTCCATCCATAGGACACTGAGCTGAAAAGCCAGCCAGGTTTTGCCACTTCTGACCTGCAGGATCACGATACTAAATGGGCGCTGCTTTATATGGTCAAGTCTGTGTTAATTTGTTCCACAACAACGGAAAACAAATGCATTGATCAGGGGTCTTTCTTAAATTCTGGAGATCCTTTAGCCTCATAAGACTTTTAGATACCACTGCTAGTGCCAGTCTGTTCAGAGACAGAGAACAGAATCTATGGCTCGTCGCCAAGGCAGCTTCAAGGATTAATCTTCAGCGGAAGTTGTGTCAGTGTACCTCCCAGTCTATGGCAGTCACACAATCAAGACTCGTTTTTACCGTAAGCCTCGTTGCCTGATCACACATTTGATATTCCAGATCTTACCGCAGGGGTCTAGTGGCCAATCAAGCTGCCAATCAAGCTGCAGCACCCGTTCCATACTGTAGGGAATGGGAGCATTACTGAGAGCTCTAGCCTTGAGGCTCAGTCTCCCATGAGGACATGCAGTGCAAGCTAACAAGAACAAAGAAAGAGACAAGGCTCACGGAGAAAACTGGGTTTTTGGCTGATCTAAGCTGCTCTGAGTGGCAAAGAAAAATGACACCAAGGGCTTCCAGTATTTACTGATTACAAGCATGGGAAGAAAGCGAGCAAGTATGCTTTGAAGACATCCAGTGATACAGTGTGAAGCATCTGGCAGTAGCAGATATGTAAGCAGGGCTACAATACGGGGAGGCCCTGCTTATTTTGCTCGGAGAGAATACATGGGTACTGAGACTGGTTCTCAATCAACCAGCCACCCACCAGGTCAGAGAGAAGCTGTAATTCCAGGGGAAAGATTTTAATTGGGGTCAAGCTGACCTCAGCTGCGTGTTAACTCACCAGAGCCCTGCTACTTCACAGACCAGGTCTTAGGTCTCCATGGCGGCCACTCGGGGAAGAGCTCTGCTAGCCCAGTTGGCTATCTGACATGCACATTTGAGTCACACGAGGCTTCGGTCTGACTCCTGATCCAAAACACAGCTGAGTTGTGGAAAGCAAGGGGCATGTTCCACTTATAGCCTGCTGGTACTGGGCAGGGGTATCTGCTGCACCACGCGGAGCACCTGCAAGAAGCTCTCCTCATGCACCCGTGCATCCATAGTTTGATGCATTTTACTAAAGCTGGAGACTATTCTACATCAAGTTGTGATACGAAGGCTTTCTCATTTAGTGTAGTGATTTTATATGGAGCATCCTTTTATGTATTAAATCTGTCTTCCTCAAGAACCTAGTGGAGGTGTTTCCTATCATGTTAACTGGAGGCGAGAACATATTTATATATTCATTCATTTTACCACCTGGTTACTGTGATTGCTTTAGTGGCCATTGGACACATGACTGGGCTCGCTGTCTCTGTAGAAGCAAAAAGGAATCATTATCATAGTAGAATATGCAGTGGCACAGATACAATTCTGGCTGAGCATAAGCAGAATTTAAATATAAAGTCTTTGCATAGCCTTGCAGTACCTTATACAATCATAATGTATTCCTGGGCTAAAAACGTTCTCTCAATGATTTTTCAAACTTTTAATATGACAAAAAAAAGAGAGAAATTATAAATGGTAAGATTTGGAATGAAAGGAACAATTCTGTCATTACTTATAGGTTGCATTGTTTATAGAGAAAACCTTGAATATTATCTACAGACACGAATAGGAGAGTAATCGGAGTGTTTCACAAGTAGTATTTCTATACCTGCACCAAGCATAGAAAAACAAATTAAAGAGGAGAAATTATTTATGGTAGCATTTGGGACCATCAGTAACAAGGTATCACTTTAACAGAAGGAGGCACATAATACCTTCATAGAAAAATGATTAAACTTTATTGAGAGATGATCGATCCCTGAGAAGACAGTATTTACTGTATTTTTCTCCCTTCTAAAGAATTGAGATTGTATTGTAAAAATAAAATTCTTTTTAAACATGTCATCTTAAATGTTATCCAAATGCATACAAATATTTTAAACGTAATTTATTTTGACAACTTCTTATTTTGACAAATGTCAGTTCTTCAAGGAAGTGTGAAAATAATACAAAGCACTTGTATGCCTTTCACTTGGAATCACCAATTTTCAAAAATAATTGCCATTTTTTTTCCATTAATTTGCCATTAGTTTTTTTTTCCCCAGAGTCTGAGGGTTTGCAAAAGACTATAGCTTCTCTACCCACCTCTGTTCCTTGTTCCCTGCTTAGATGAGTGGTAGGGTAGTTTGGTAAAATGTCTTTGCTTGTCCTTTTCCCTTTTATTAGATCTTGTTAGATCACAAACATGGTTCAGCTGGGAGCTCTGTGAGCCACCTTTCATTCTTAGTTTCTAGTACATAGTACCTGCTATGTGCGAAGTATTTATCAAATAAAGACATGAGTGGTTGAAAGTTTCTTAACACACAGCAGTTTTCCTACATAAATCTTGTGCTAGTTTTATGTGATGACTTCTGGTGCTGAACTCATCACATGTCAACATTCAGTATTAGGGCTTGAACTTGGAGCCATTTCATATCCACACCACTCTTGTAGAGTTTTTTTTTTTTTAATGAGTAGTCATGTCCTGTTTTATTGAATGGAATATTTTAAGTAAAAGTTTAACTTGTTTTTATAATGAAATGCATGTACATTCATTGATGGAAATTTGTTGGGTTCAGATGCACACACACACACACACGTGCGCACACACACACACACACACACACACACATATGAACAAAGTGTTAAAAATCCCACCATTCAGAAACTTTGATTAAAAAAAACCCCATTCTGGTGTTTTTCTATCTAAAAGTAAATCATATGCTATATGTTTTTTCAAATAACATTTGCTGTGACTATTTTCCTATATGTTAATTGAACCTTTGAAGACTGAATTTCAAGGGCTAAACAATATTCCATCTAATGAAAAAGGTATCTTTGTTATTAAAACAATATTCTAGAATTGTAAACTTAGCTATAGTGACCAGCTTGGTACACTTCTTGTGCTTATCATTAGCCACTGCTTTAAATGGGAAGTATTTTAAAGGTACAGTAAAGGGATGAGATGACAGAGTTCTACTGTGCAGATATTTATAGGTCTCAAATCATTACACTTACACCCTAGAAACTTCTGAAAATACAGTGGTCAGAGATAAACAAGTGCTGACTATCAGATGTGCTCTTTCTATCTTGGTGTCCCTTGGTTATGTCAAATGGTTGTGAGATGTTTACCAGTTTGTGCTAATGAAGTTCAGAAAATCTCTGATCTATTGCATTTCTTGACTCCTTTTCTTTGGTTTCTTGGGGAATTCTTATTAAAACAACTTTCCTGATTATGGCTTCAGCAGCTAGTCCAGTGGCAGACAAAACTGCAGCTTCTTTAGCTTTATCTAGAAGCTCTGCATTGTGCTCCCTGGAGAACAGCTAGACCTTTCTTTCTACCTGGCTGGGAGCAAATTTCACTAGCATTTCCTTGAGTGCATATCAGTGGAAACAAACTACATGAAGTCATTATGAATGATTTTTATCATCCTCTACTTGGGCAGTTGTATCTGGCTTTCACTGATGCTAGTTTCAACAAGGGAAAAAGTGTAAATCATAGTGCTAGGACTAATTGCAGTTCTTCTGAAAACTTTTGGCTTATTCTTAAGAGTCCATGCTTTTTGATCTACAAATCAGAAAATCTAACTAGACCCTTTAATTTGTTGTGTGCCTAGCAGCCCAAACTTTGCTTATTGTGCTTACCACTTAAACATCAGTATGAAATATTAAAAAAAGAAATGAGGAGTGTACGAACGTCTCACCCTGAAAAATACCTTCTTAACGAAAAAACAAAAAAGCCATCTCAGACCTTTGACAGTTGATTCCAAAGAACTTCAGTAATAAACAAAATGTAGTTTTCTACTTTTTATTCAAAAGTGAAAGGATTTGTTGACTCTGCCACATAAGAGATTAGCTTATGAACTATGCCATTGGTTTTTGTTTTGTTGGTCGTTGCTGATATGTGTGTGTATACATAGATCGAAAGCTGCTGTCAGTTGATGGAAACCTTTTAAGTGTTTGCCTCCCATTTTTTCTTTGCATTATATATGAAGAGGTTTAAAATGGAGCCATGTCTTGTGTTTGGACATCCCGTGCTCATTAGCCAGACAGAAAAGTGAGGCACAAGGTGCCGCACTTTCCTTGGCCCTTGGTTCGTTTTTACTTTTCTGCACGAAAGAGTAACATGTGCCACTGAGCAACTGGGATATCAGGCGGGGATTGCCTTTAGACATTCATGGATCTTTGAAGGATGAGGCACTGCTTAGCAGTCGTCTCATTTTACAGAGTAAGTCCAGGGTCCATTCCTAGTAATTTATGATGCCAAGATCAAATGTTCTTTGCTGCCTTACATTAATACTCAGTGTTAGGGTTCTCTTTATTGCATCACTGTTTTTTTCCTTAGGGGACTAGTTGTCAGGAGATCCCTGGAGCCATACATCTGTTAAATCTGTAATAACAGGTTCTCCTACTAGTGATGCTGAAGGTTCTGATGTTTTTCCCCACCCAGGATTCATACCTGTGTGTAGCTTGGGTGTGGCTCAGGTGGGCAGGATGAACTTTGGAAAGGATGTCAGCACCTTGAAGTACTTCACCATCTGCGGCTTACAAGAGGGCTACGAACCATTTGCAGTTAACACAAACAGAGATATCACCATGTGGCTCAGCAAGAGGCTTCCTCAGTTCCTTCAAGTTCCATCAAACCATGAACATATTGAGGTTTGCTTTTTATTTGAAAATCTAGGGAATATGTTTGTATGTGAGAGTTCTTACTTGGACACTTATAAATTAAAGTAGACTGGGGATTTAGCTTAGTGGTGCCACCGCCTGTCTCACAAGTGCAAGGCCCCGATTGCGATCCCCAGTACCCCCCAAAAATTAAAAAATAAAGTAATTTCCCTGAAGTGTTATATGACATACATAACAGAGATTGGCCTCTAATATTGGGTTCTTTACTAATACCATATTTGGATGATAAGTGATCTTCTTTTTATGTGTAAGCAGAGTCAGGCCAAATATGGATGTGAACAATTGTGAGATTAATTTCCCAAGCCATCTTTAAGAATTCGGAGCAGAACTCTATGAATACTGCTGCCTCTCATTATGTATAAGTGATTAGTTCCAGGACCACCATGGTTACCAATATCTGCAGATGTTGAGGTCCCAAATATAAAGTGATGGAGTATTTGCAGTGAACCTATGCACATCATCTTAAATTGTTTAAATTGTCTGTCAGTTACTTATAATATCTGATACAGTCAAAATATAGTTACATTGTTTAAGGACGAGATCAAGAAAAAAGTGTGACCACATTCAGTACAGGTGCATTTTTTTTTCCAAAGATTTGCTGTGGGTGATTGGTTGAACCCACAGATGTAGAACCTGCAGAGAGGTACAGCGATTTGTACTCTGTGTATAACCTTTTCTTTCTCTCTCTCTCTCTCTCTCTCTCTCTCTCTCTCTCTCTCTCTCTCTTTCTTTCTTTCTTTCTTTCCTTTCTTCCTTTCTCCCCCCCATTCTTTCCTTTCTGTCTTTCTTTTCTGGTACCAGGGATCGAACTTGGGTCCTTCCGCTTGCAAGGCAGGTGGCAGAACCACTGAGCTAAATCCCCAGCCCTTTATAACCTTTTCTTACAAAATAATGCATGTATGGGTCATGTTTGGGATTCTGAAAACATGATGTGCATTAGTTGTCTTTAGGATCTCAAATAAACATTGGTGGGTAGAATGTGAATATGGCTTCTTTATTTGCTAGGTGACCAGAATAGATGGGACCATAGACAGTTCCCCGTGTCTGAAGGTCACTCAGAAGTCCTTTGGTTCTCAGAACAGCAGCACCGACATCATGTTTTACCGCCTGAGCATGCCAATTGAGTGCGCGGAGGTCTTCTCCAGAACCGTGGCTGGGGGGCTCCCGGGTGCAGGCCTCTTTGGGCCCAAGAATGACTTGGAGGATTATGACGCGGATTCTGACTTTGAGGTTCTGATGAAGACAGCTCATGGCCATCTGGTGCCTGATCGCGTTGACAAAGACAAGGAAGCTACAAAGCCAGAGTTTAATAACCATAAAGATTATGCTCAGGAAAAACCTTCTCGTCTGAAACAGAGGTCATTTACAGATACAATACGATTCTGAATATGTAGTTTTCCTGTGGGGAGAGTTATTGTACAGGGTGAAGGGTTTCCCAATATTAATTTGTTCTTCATCTTTTTTTCTTTTTGTGAAAGATTTTATGAGAAAAATAGAGCAACCTGGTGGTCTTCTAACTTGTTAGAGCAGATGTAATCTATCACAGGTCACTTTTTAAGGTGCTTATACTTATATTCTTGATGAAACTTAGAGTGTTTCTTTAAATAGTATTTTTATGTCAGAATAGTATTTTAGCATCATTTGTTGTACCCAGAGTTTCTTAACCTCAGTAAGTTTGATACTTTACTTGAATCATTCTTTGCTGTAGGGCTCTGTGCTGGGGACCAAAGAGGGCCTCTATCCACTAGATGCCAGTAGCACTCTGTGCCTTAGTTGTGAAAATGAGAACTATCCCTACACGTTCCCAGATGTCCCCCAGAGAGCAAAATTTCCCGAGTTAAAGACCACATATTAATTATGTGCTCATATTAGAAGTAGGCAGATCAAATGAGAATTTACTAATTCTTCATTGCTGGTCCTCTAATGTATTTCAGATTTTTACTTAGGAGAACAAAGCCAGATTATAGCACAAGCCATTCTGCAAGACTCACGGAAGATGTCCTGGCAGATGATCGGGATGACTACGATTACCTGATGCAAACCTCCACGGTACGAGGTTGCAGCTTGTGTCCTTTATTTCTGTTTGTCGATGATTATCATTTATACCTTCAGTAGTATACTTTGGTTGGGGATGGAGTCAGGGATAAAGTGCTTGCCTGGCATATTCTAGGTCCTGGATTCAATTCCTAGCACCATAAGATAAAACAGTCGAACAGTATACTTTGATTAAATTCCTAAAAACAATCATTTGCTTCTATGTTTAGATCTGTTGGGGGGGTAAGATACTTGAAAAATGTGTTATAATGTATGTTATTCAATAAGAGAGTTATTTGGAGCAAATATTCTTGTTTTTTGAATAAGTTTATTGCTTACATTCATCATTAGGACCTTGTACCTTTACGTGATGTATCTTGGTTTTTATTTTTTTCCCTATTCCCTTGCCCTCCCTTTAATCCCTCTGTGTCTTCCTATTTACAGAGGTTTTGTTTCCATTTTTTCCTTTTCTCATATTTTTTGCTTTTCCTTCTTTCCTTTCCCTTATCCTTCCAACTATGGAAAATATTCTAAATGACACCTGTAATTGAGATTTTTTGCTATCCTATTTCATTGTAAAATTTTAACTTGCCACTTGCCTTTTCCAAGTGCATATAATTTCTTTCATTGTAGGGAATAGTCTAAAAGATCATTTATCCTTCTTTGTGAGAGGTAGGGTCTTGCTGACTACCATTTCAAATTTTAAAATCTACTTTTCCTGTAACGCCAAATGGAAAACTATAAAATTGTGTCTTTTATAGAGTGCTTCCATGTTTGGGTTTGATGTTCACATATTAGACTTGAACTATTTCAGACTGACTTAAGATGTCAAAATATTATATATCTGAAAAAGTAAAGGCCAAGTATTTGCAAAAGAGTTGGATGACAAGCATAAAAACTCTAGCATAGATTAGCAGACTTGCACTAGCTTGAAGATCTTGAAGCTAAGGTGCCTAAATGGATTGATACATTTAAATGCATTTATTGTGTCTGTGACACACACACACACACACACACACACACTCACACACTCATCTGCACACACATATATTGCTCAAGTAGTCTTTTTCTCTTTTTCCCATTATTTCTGATTAAAGATCTGTTGTATAAAACATTTCTCATTTCGCAGTGTTCATCTTTTGTGCCTATAACATTATAATTTTGTCAAATGATTTTTAAAAAATACATTCTCAAGTAATTCAGAGACTCAAATCAGTGTTGTTTTGCTTTGCTTTGCCAATTTCTGGTTTTGCTGTCTCGATAGTACTATTACTCAGTGAGAATCTTTCCCGGCCAAGAACCTGCTAACGTCTGGGTGGGATGGATTACATCTGATTTCCATCAGTATGACACAGGCTTTGACTTGGACAGAGTCCGTACAGTGACTGTAACTCTAGGAGATGAAAAAGGAAAAGTACACGAAAGGTTGGTTCACTTCAGTTTTTTACATGAATGACATAAAACGTATTGGCAAATCTAGGACCTTTTTTCTCTTGGATTTTGTGAAGACTATTTCTATTTGTAGGAACAGTGTGATGAAGCCATTAGCGTCAGCGTCCTTTCTGTTACTCATGCAAACCAGCAAGAATCTAAATATATTAAAAGCAAGAAACATAGAGTAAGAGTGGTACCTCCTTTGTGGGTAACAGTACCTGCCTGGGTCACATGCTGAACGACTTGGGTTCCCAATACTTAGCCCTTGCTTGAAGGATGCAAGATGGTAAAGCGAGGTGGTTAGCATCTGGTCTGATAAATATCTTGGGAACTGGCTTTGTGGTGGGGATAAAAATATGAATTCAGAATGGGCTGGTAATTTAGACCAGAGGGACACATTTGAACTCCGACTGAGGAGCAGTGGGTTCTTTCCTCAGCTTTGCCTTTGACTCGCTGTGTGGCTTTGGGTAAGTCAGTTACACTTTCTGTGCCATCCTTTCTCATTTGTAAAACAAACCAAACTCAAACCAAACCTTCAAAAAAGTACAGAAGGTGATATATCTTCCTTGCAGAATAAGACAAGAGAAGATCTGACCATTTGCTGCTACCTTTTGTGCCCATGAGTCCTCTCTGATCTGCTGTGACAGGTCTCAGAAAGAGCCCTCCATAGTTTTGCTTTCTTTCTATATCTGCACCATTTTTTTTTTTTTTGGTGACCAGGAAATTCACTGTCCTGCTGTCAGCTTTTTACATTTCGAACGTGATGGCATCAGTGCTTAAGATAAGGCTAGGAAAAAATCATGAATGAAGATTTTTACATCAGCATGGGACCCTGAACCCCATGCCTCTAGGAATATTCTTGGGAGTGCATTTGATTTTCAGAAATGGAAACAGTATTAGAAGAAGAACTCAATATAGGGATGGGATAACCGATAGATGACTTAGAACAGGAAATAGAGGATTGGAAAAAGTCCCTGAATCTTATGTTGAAAGAAACACAGTCTGTATTTGATTATCCCAAACTAACTTTATTTCATTCTTTGTATTTCTTCTTGCCTGCCTGACTTTGGCCTTTTTCCATAGTTGTTTACAGGCTTACCATATAGTGCTAGAGAACGGACTAGAAATGAAGCTGAAAATAGTTTACTTTGTTACCAGCTCTAATAAAGATTTTGGCGAAAGTGAAAATCGGGGGAAGTTTTCTTTTTGCTATCACTGTTTTCTGTGCGTATTCTAGTTAACTCTGCCTCTTGGATCACCAGGAACTGTCCACAATGGGGCATACTTTTAGCCAAATTTAATTATATTGAATCACTGATGATGCGTGCAGAATTTGCGTAGAGACTTGGACAATGTTTAGAAATGAACACTTCTCATCTCTGAACCCACAGTTACAAAGAAAATAAAACCAAACCAGGAGATGAAAATTACAAATTTGGATGTTGATTAAGTAGTTGAACTTTTTTGAACGTCAGAAAAAGGTCCAGTTTGGTTTGAGTTTTTGGAGAGAAGGTGCAGGTCAGTCTCTTATTTAGCTCCAACTCGTCGACCTGTCTCCAGAAGGTGTGAAATTCAGAGATGAGACCGACCTGATTCAGAACGTCCACTGTGGTCCATGGAGTTTTGCTCAGAATCACAGAATCGGCCCATTGTGCACCTCTCCCATTACAGCATGAGCTTGTTGCTTGCGCAGCATAATTTAGGTTTAGTTTGCAAGATATACATGCTTTCTTTCTTAACTGTGGTTGTACAAAGATAAAATATGGGGATTTTTTGCAATTCAGCATCAAACGCAGCAACTGCTATATGGTGTGTGCTGGTGAGAGCATGAGCCCTGGACAAGGACGCAACAATAACGGGCTGGAGATCGGCTGTGTGGTGGACGCCGCCAGCGGGCTGCTCACGTTCATTGCCAATGGCAAGGAGCTGAGCACTTACTATCAGGTACGCGGTCAGGTCAGGAGTGTATTTTGCTGGTGGAGAAGGAAATCTTCTCTCCCCGTTAAAGGGATACATGCTTTGTAAGATCAAAAAGCAATTAGAAATTAAGAGAAGACGGAGGCAGGAAAGTTAATTATGTATGCTGACTTTTACTGAATATGCGTAGAGCCATAAGCGGCTTCAAGTAGATAGATCCTCCAGCCGTGTTCCAAGGTCATGAAATATCCTGACTAATTACTGAGAAAGAATCTTCACATGACAGAAAGGCGACATTTTGGTTTCCTTCTGTTTTGGGTTCCTTAGTTGTTTCACAGAAAATAGTTTTCTTTACCGTCTCTCTCTACTAACATTACTAAATTAATTTGTTTATTTAAGGTGGAGCCAAGTACAAAATTATTTCCTGCAGTTTTTGCACAAGCCACAAGCCCCAACGTTTTCCAGTTTGAGTTAGGAAGAATAAAGGTAAGGGAAATGCATTCCTAATTTCTTAGTCTTATTATTTTCTGTTAGGACCTAGCTGGTACTTCTAAAATGAATTCAGTACTGATATGGATCAAATAAATTGTACGTTAGGGGAAAGGTAGCTGTGTTTGAAAATCTATTTCAGGTCACTCTGATAACATAATTTAAAAGTTTCTCTTCAGTTATCTTAACTGTGTTAGTCAGTAAACCTCATTTATACTGAACCAGAAAATGCTAAGTTGTATGCAGGACACTAATCATTGAAGCTATACGTGGTCTTGTAAACAAATGTAGACTTGAAACCAGGTGACTTAAACTAGGGGCACGGATAGCATTCTGTAGGGACATAAATAAAATTGCAGCCAAGTTAGATGAGTGAAGCAGGTAAACATGAAAGAAGAGGTTATCTTGGAAGACTGACTGTTAAGTAGGGATTCTCCAGGGCATCGACTGGAAGAAGGTATTGTGGGAAGCGAGAGAAAGAAAGCAAAAGTGTGTAAGGGGAAAATATCAAGGTGAAGTGATTCTGTGAGACCCTAACAGAGGATGCTTTCCTTGGGAGATTACTGTGTGGACCAAGTCTGAACTGAAAAGTCTTGAATATTATGCCAAGAGGTTGGTACCTAGTACATAGGCAGGAATGATTGTTGGAAGTTTGAAGAAGGGAACTGAGAATAATGAAGCTGATTTTGGAAAAACATGGTAGTAGCAATGTTCAGGTGAGCAAAACGGGAGGCAGGGAGGGGCAGGTAGGTGTTGCTGATCTCGTGCAATCTACTTGGAGACGATGGCAAGAGCCAGGAAGGTGCCAAGGGCGAGGAAGTGAAATGAAAATATTCTGTGGGTTAATTAGATAGGATTGGACAATGAATTGGCTTAATAAGCTTTTTCAGTTAACTGGGTTCAAATACTGGAGTCTAGAATTAAAGTTTATCTTTTTTGGTTTGGACTGTTTGGTCTGTTTGATGATATTAGTGCCATAACTCGAAGTGATTGTTGAAATTCAGGAAGATAAAAATTGCATTTAATTTTGCAGTTTTAAAAGTTGAGGTGCCAGATTAAGCACAGTAGGTTGTTGTTCCAGGCCAGGTTAGTGATGTTGGACCTGTGTCTTAAACTATATGAGTACAAAAATGGGATTCACAGTGTCTGGTCTGTGGCGTTATCTTAGTGAGACCCTGCCTCAAAGTAAAAAAAAAAAATGAAATAAAAACAAAGCCAGGGGATGTAGCTCAGTATGAAGGCCATGGGTTCAAACCCCAGTACTAAAAAATAGTGTGACCCTGAAAGTCCTAAAGGCTTAGCAGGTTTCCCCTGGGCCCAGCCTGGCAAAGAAATCTGAAGAGGGCACAGTTATTCTTCCTTTGTCGCACCCGTGTGGAGTGTATGGGAGAAATACATCTGTTTGCCTGCTCTGAAGTTTTAGGTGTTTCCTCCACTTGTCCTTGCAGGAGTGTGTTTTCAACCCAGTTTTTCTGGTGCTTCTGATTCTGGTTTTGCTCGACTCACAGTGTATCTTCCCTCTCCTGTCTCTTCCCCTGCAGGATTTTATCCATTGCTTCACGAACTCCAAGGGATGTTATAAATTCATTCTCCTTCTGCTTCCTCATCCCTAGAATGTGATGCCTCTCTCTGCGGGATTGTTCAAGAGTGAACACAAGAACCCCGTGCCCCAGTGTCCCCCGCGTCTGCACGTGCAGTTCCTGTCACATGTGCTGTGGAGCAGGATGCCCAACCAGTTTCTGAAGGTGGATGTCTCTCGGATAAGTGAGCGTCAGGGATGGCTGGTGCAGTGTCTGGACCCTCTGCAGTTCATGTCCCTGCACATCCCCGAGGAGAACAGGTCAGCCCTCAACACCCTTGTGGTCTGACTCGGATACTTGGAAATAGACCTTTGTCCGAGGACCCAAGGGTGCTGCTGGAGAAACAAAATGAAGGCAAAAGGAATGGTTGGCAAGGGGCTCATTGTTGGGCGCCATCCAAGCTTAAACCTATTTCTCAGAGAATTTGTTAGTGAAAGGAGTTGTACTGTAGTGGATGCCGTGTAACAGCATGGGATGTCTTCACACACTCTTAACTTACTCCAAGATGACAACACCAACGGGTTACAGCTGCAGGACGGTTTATGACTTAGCAAAATAACATAATAACGTGTAAGGTATCAGGGATGGAATGATAGGAACCACTTAGTTCAACCCTTTGTTTTATTAGACATGAAAAACAGAACAGAATGAAAGAAATGATAATGAAAGAAAATTGTGAAAACACGGTCTGCACTTTGTAAACAAAGTTATGTATGTTCTAGGCCGTAGAAATAATAGCATTAGGTACAATGGTAGCTTTATTTATGATTTTTCAGTTTTCCCTTGTAACTTCCAGTTGAATTGTATAGATTTCATTTTAGTGGACATACTCCTAATACAAAGTTTCTATGTTTTGAACCAAGATCCCCTTCCCTAAGTACCATAAAACTCAGCGAAAATACCACACACTCAGCGAACACACAGAAAGAAAACGGTGTCAACGTCATTGTTCTCATTTTAAGTGTTCAATCTTAAAGTAATCGTGGGATATATGCCCCCTTCTTATTATATGGGTGTGGTACAGAATGAATACATTCATTGTGGGGAATTGGCGCGTGCACATAGATGCCCATCTTGACCCTTTTCACTTTCTGTCCTCTCCCTTCCTTCCTGTCTCTGTCCACCCACAGTTTCCCTTTCCATCTCCACGTAGTATAGCGCCTGTCTTTTCTTTGGCCCTTTAAATTGTTTATACTTTAGTTATCTTTCTTTACGGCTGATACATATATATTATGTTTTCTTTATTTATTCATCTGTTGATGGGCATATAGGCTTCTTCCGAGATTTAGCTATTATAAGTTTTACTTTTTTAGTTTCAAACAGTCTTGCTATGTTGCTTAGACTGCTCTTGAACTTGCAAGCTTCCTGCCTCCGCCTCCCAAGAAGTATTTTTGCTTCATTTTGTGTGGTTGTTATTTTAATTTGATACCTTTACCATTGAGCCACTTCTTTGGGAAACAAATTGTCATTCCTTCAGAAAATTAAACATAAGAATTACCATGTGCCCTAACAATTCCGCTTCTAGGAATATACCCAAGAGAAAGGAAAACAAAACCTGTCCACACCAAAATCAGCTACTTGACTTAGGCATTAGAAAGATAGTAGGAAACAAAATACACACACACACACACACACACACACCCACACACACACCCACACGCACACACACACACACGTCCCTGCTCTCATGGAAGAAATGATTAAATCTAAGAAGACCTTTCAAGATGAGCAAACAATTCTTTTGTTGAGGATATATCATGTTTCCACTTTTTTTTTGGATTTTTTTGAGACAGGGTCTCACTATGTAGTTGAGATTGACCTGGAACTCACTGTGTAGTCCAGGCTTGTCTTGAACTCACAGCGATCCTCCTGCCTCAGCCTCCAGAGTGCTGGGATTACAGGAGTGCACCGCCACACCTGGCACATGTTTCTACTTTTAATACTATAGTTTCACCTATGAGTATCTATATAATTTAAACAGCTTAGAATACATCACATCTAAAAAAAAAGTTTATCCTCTCCATTGCTCAGCTTTCCTGTTGCTAGGACAAAATACCTGAGGAGATTATTTTAACTTACACTTCGAGAGGTTTTAGTCCATGGTTGGCTGGCTCTGAAGAGGTGAAAGGGCAAAGGGGAAGCCAGCCAGTCAGGAAGGGTCCAAGGACCAAATATAGTCCCCACAGTTGGGTGTCCATGACTCAATCAGACACATCGAGAAGTGTGCTTTACTAATCCCCTGGGTATCTCTCAAACCAATTAAACTGACAGTCTATATTAATCAACTGGTGCATGCTCAGAAAGGAATGGCTTAACTTTAGGTATAATATGGCTTAGGCTTTAACGGAAGCAAACTGATCTGAATTAAGCATACAGTGTGAACTCTCCCTGCCATAGATATTGGAGCCATAGAGTTTTGCTAGGGAGAAAATGCCATTTATACTGTTTGTTTTGTGAACTGCATATACCTGTGTGGAAGCAGGGGCGCTTGTGGCAGGAGGTTTTGGAGACTTTGAAGGATGTTTAGGAGGCTAATTTACAGCAGAGGTATTAGCACTCTGCTCATCTACTTCTGACTGGTCAGGCTAAGAGCCTGATCACTGGACAGTGATGAAGGCTGTTTATCCCTGGGCAGATCTTTCTGGCTTCTTGATCTAAGTTACTTAGTGGAAAAGGGGGTCGGGGTTTTCCAAGAGGTGCACAAATTCTGAAAGAAGGGTATCCCAGGTTCACGTTGAAACTACGTGTCTGAAAGAAATACCCAAAACCTTGCTGGAGAAGAGAAGAGATACATCTTGAAATACATAATAGGCACAGATTCTGATTCGGAACTTCTCCACTGATCTTCTCCTAATCTGGATGCCACTCCCCTCTCCTCTTCCCCAGATCTGTTGACATCTTAGAGTTGACAGAGCAGGAGGAGTTGCTGAAATTTCACTATCACACCCTCCGGCTGTACTCAGCAGTCTGTGCCCTGGGGAACCACCGGGTGGCCCATGCCCTGTGCAGCCATGTGGATGAACCTCAGCTGCTCTATGCCATCGAGAACAAGTACATGCCTGGCTTGCTGCGCTCCGGCTACTATGATCTGCTGATTGATATCCATCTTAGCTCCTATGCTACTGCCAGGCTCATGATGAACAACGAATTCATTGTCCCCATGACTGAGGAAACCAAGAGCATCACCCTCTTCCCTGATGAGAACAAGAAGCATGGGCTCCCTGGCATCGGCCTCAGTACCTCCCTCAGGCCACGGATGCAGTTTTCTTCACCGAGCTTTGTAAGCATCAGTAATGAATGCTACCAGTACAGTCCTGAGTTCCCGCTGGACATCCTCAAGGCCAAGACAATTCAGATGCTGACCGAGGCTGTTAAAGAGGGCAGCCTCCACGCACGGGACCCTGTTGGCGGGACCACTGAGTTTCTCTTTGTGCCTCTCATCAAACTCTTCTATACCTTGCTGATCATGGGCATCTTTCACAGTGAGGACCTGAAGCACATCCTGCAGCTGATTGAGCCCAGTGTGTTTAAGGAAGCTGCTTCTCTGGAGGAGGAGGGTGATGTGCTGGAGAAAGAGCTTAGTCCTGAAGACCCAAAGCAGGAAGGGACAGGGGAAGAAGATGCTAAAGGGGCTAAGAGCCCCCAGGAAGGCCTGCTCCAGATGAAACTGCCCGAGCCAGTTAAACTACAGGTAAGCAGAGAGAAGATGAGTATGAATTTCAATGCTACTGCGTATTAAAGTGTTAAAATTTGCCTATTTCTGTGTCATCTGTTGGTCTGTCCCTCTCTCTTACCTCCCATTCTTATCCCTCCTGTGCATTGCACCTTTCCTTATGTTTCTCCTCTTAGTTCTGCAAATTCACTCCACCTGCGTGATGTTGGTGTGCCTGACATTTGAGGCACTTCACACCCTTCCTCCTTCCTCTCTTTCCTGCCGTGCTATGCTTGGTCAGCCGTACGTATGACCGCACTTACGTAGCAAAATCCTCCCTCCCTGGTAGGTTTCTGAAGAATCAAAGACCTTGCCTGTTTTCGTGCTCATCAAGGTGTACAAAATGTTCTTTTCTTCTCATGTCTTCATGTCATGAGGATCCGTGTGACATGTGCATGGTTGGCCTGGGTTTTTGCTCATCCCCTCCATCAGCACTCAGAGAAGTCTTACTCTGGTCTGGGCTCTGAGCCAAGAGAAGGAAGCGGGTGTCAGCCTGGCTTCTGGATGCTCACAGTCTCTGAGAGAAGTGACACTGATTTATGCATTTTGGCTAAAATATTGCCAGCTGCGAAAATTCTCACCTGAGAGTGGACAGAAATGGTTATATTTGGAAACATGTAGGGTTTTAGAGTCTTATTTAATACTACGGTTCATTTGTGTCATAGTTGGTATTAACTGTATATAAATGTTTTCCTAAACTTGGCAGGATACGATCTCGTGGACATGTTTCTGCCAACATACTGCATCAATAAACTAAAATCTCTTTAGTTTCCCATAAGGAAACACTAACCCAGCCAGGCGTTGTGGTGCACACCTGTAATCCTAGCATTCTAAGAAGCTGAGGCAGGAGGATTGCAAGTTTGAGCCCAGCCTGGGAAACTTAGTGAGACTGTGTCACAAAGTAAAAAGGACACAGGGGTGGGGGCACAGCTAGTGAATGACCCTCGGAGCCAAGGCCTTAGGTTTAATCCCCAGTACCGAAGGGGGAAAAAAGAAGGAAAGGAAAGAAGGAAGAAAAATAGTAAACACCCAGGTCACTAGTGAGTGAGCATTAATTAACTTAGTTAACTTCCATGCTCACACATAAAGTCTGGAGTTTCACAAATGTGCGGGAACTCTGATGTCATCGGGAGCCAGATCTTTGTGTCTCTGCTCTGTGACACTCAGCCTGTAGTTTTCCTTCCAAGAGACATCACCGTGTTCCTCCTCCAGGAACCAGGTCACAGCCAGTTACATGTGTAACTGGAAAACATCCTAGTCCATTATCAATGGTGGAAGATCTTCCCAGAAAACCCTAAGAAAGTGTTCTTTATGACCCATTTGCCACATCGTTTGGGGCCACACGGAAGGCTCCGGAGTGAGTGCCCACCAAAGGGACATGTATTTGTCATTTTGGCTTATACAAATTTACGTCATCCTCTGGTACTGAGCACATGGCTGTGCACGCAGAATTAGAATTCTGTTCTTAAAGGTGAAGAATAGGCAGCTAAGCACCAATGATGATTTGATGTGCATTAACTATTAAAATATTTTTTATTTTATTTTATTTTGTCTTCTTAGATGTGCTTATTGCTTCAGTACCTCTGTGACTGCCAGGTCCGGCACCGGATAGAAGCCATTGTAGCCTTTTCAGATGACTTTGTAGCTAAGCTCCAAGACAATCAACGTTTCCGATACAATGAAGTCATGCAAGCCTTAAACATGTCTGCTGCACTCACAGCCAGGAAAACCAAGGAATTCAGGTCGCCGCCCCAAGAGCAGGTATAGGAACATGAGAAAATTCTTTTTGCCTTGGATTTTAGTTCATTCAGAATCTGCTGCAACACTGTATCATAATTACATTTTTCGCTTTCTGTTTAAACCAAGTTGATTCAGTCAACAGTCATAGTTTCACCAAAAAAATTGCTTGGTTATTTGAGACAAAAGAGAGACTTACCTAGAGATACCAGATATATCACAAATGTTTTGAGAAGCGCAGGATGCCAGTCTAAAGTTCCACACATAGTAACAGTATCCAGCCACAGATCAGTCTTCTTTGGCTGACAAGGCATTACCCTCGCTGACAGGAACTCTTGACACCTCAAGCACGATGCCACATTCCATTTGGTCCCCAGGAAGAACCTTCTGTTTCTGCCACTTTGCTTCCCAGAAGGTTGGTCACCTTATTTGTGGACGTTTCTCTCGTTCCCTCCAGACCCAGGTCTTTTGAAGGGCAGTAGAATCACCAGCATTTGTCTGAATCAGAGAATAAATCAGTCTAGTGTTGAGAATTTTCTGGAATCTGCCTCAGAGTGGGACATAGTGTGGAAAATTACTAAGATGGAAGAAGGCTGAATCGAAGATACGAATCACAGACATTTCTCATATCTCACTCTTTACCATTTCTCTGTACATCCAAACTAGCTCAGAGTGAAAGTGTGTAGGGACACAAATTTCTTTTTTTCTCATCAGAATGCAATTTTTTTGAGGCAGAGGATATGAAATTTTGTTTTTGTTTTTTGGTATCAGCAGTGTTTCCTAAGGCTACCTACCATTGGGAGATTTCTGCCTCTGAAAAGATGGAATGCGTATGTTCTCTCCTATTCTTCCAAGTACACTAAAACTCTGGATATTACACATACGGATTCCGGGAGTGATGTGGTAGTGAGATTCCTGGGTTTCCATTTTGCCTCTTCTCTCCTAGCCTTGAATATAAAGAAGCTATGTCTAGGGAGTGTCAGTAGCATATCCAAGAAAACTTCAAAGCTGAGCAAGACAAAATCCTTTAGATAGCTACACTGCCGTAGCCACGCTGTACCCCACTGTCTCTCACCAAGGCTGCCTGGGAGCTTTGATGTGCAGTCTCACTGGCCTGTAATGACGTACTTCCCAAGGAGGGAGCTGTGGATTTTATCCTCGAGTAATGATAATGAGGTCTGATCTTTCCAGAATATCAGCAGAGACTGTGCAAGAAGTAACAAGGCACCTTGACCTTATTCATCAAGAGGATGTCAATAAGGAGTAACAAGGAACCAGAGCTCCAGCCCTGCCCAGCACATATGGCCCCTTCTCAGATCAGAGTCTTTTCCTTGCCCAGCAGAAGTAGGGCATTCTCGTGGTCTTCCTCTGTGTCTTCTTTCTCTGGACACTGTCAGAGAAATCTAGCTAAGGCATAAGTTTGAGTAAGATCTAAAGGATAGATAGGCCAAAGTGTTCAGATTTCAGTTACGACACTTATTATACCTAGAGCCTGGAAAAATGTGAATGCAAAAAGATAATCAACATCCAGATGATAGAGATATTAAAATTATGAAGACCCCTTGAAACAACCACCGTGAAACTGTTCAAAAACAGAGAAAAAAAGAAAAATGAAAAAGAAAATCGCAGCAAAAAACAAAAGGTAGAAAGGGCCCAATGGAAACTCTAGATCTAAAAAATACCATAACTGGCGGAAGAAATTAAGTGAATGGGCTTAGCAGCAGCAGGGAGAAGGCAGAGGAAAGAATCTGAATTGAGAACAGAATGGTAGAATGGACTTCTGAGGAGAAGAGAGAAAAATCAACACCAGATAAACATAGCATCAGAGACCAGCACAAATGAGATACAAAATTTAATGTTGTGGCATTAAAGTCGCAGGAGAATAGGAGGAAGACTGTCAAAAGAAAAAAAAAAAATAATTGAAAAAAATGAAGGTTAAAAGTTTTTCAAATTCACTAACCGGAAATTGGAGAGTCACAAAGCTAATTAAGTCCACGCCATAAAAATATAAATAATTCTATAGTAAATCACACAGCAGTCAACTTTCTGAAAATTAAAGGGAAAAAAATCTCAAAAGTGATAGTTTGTCAGAGACCACGATGCAGCAGGAGGTGGCACAGTGTTTCTCACATGCTGAAGATAAATTCTTGTCAGCCTGAAGTTCCATGTGCTGTGAAAAATGTCGTTTCAGGAGCAAAGGGGAAATTAAGAAATTCTCAAGGGAACATTATGAGAGTTTGACTATAGCCATCTTGCTCTCAAAGAAAGCTAAAAGAGATTCTTTAAATAGAAGGAAAATGAGCAAAGAAGGATGTGTGGAAAATTAGAATAATGGAAACTTAAAATAGAGTTAATTAAAATAATTATAGGTAAATAACAATGCATTTTTCTTTTCTGGAGTTTTCTGAATTATGTTTGGTAATTCAAAAATTATAAAACTATCTGATGTTGTAAATGAATGTTTTAGGAAATTTTAAGACAGTTATAAATGGATAGAGAATAAAGGGATGCAGGAGATAAGGTTTCTGTATTTCAAACTGATGAAATGTTGATATCAACAGTTTCATAAATTATGTATAAAGTTAATGCTCAGAGCAACTTCTAAACAAATTATATAAAGGTAAACACTGAGCAATAGCATGGATGAATAAAGTGGGACCCTAAAAAAGTGTTAATCCACAGAATGTGAGCAAAAATAAATCAGACAGAAGAAACAAATAGCAAATAAGATGGCAGTCTCAAATCATAGCATATTAGTAACTGCACGATATTTGAAATGTACATACTCAGCAATTAGTAAAAAAAAATAATTCCACGACTGTACATATCCTAGTTACTTTTCTTGTAGTTGAGACAAAGGTTTATATGGACTCAGATTTTGTAAAAGTTTCAGTCCATAGCTGTTTCCAAGGCAGGGTGGCACGCAGAGTAACATCACAGAATTGGTAAGAGGCAGCAGAAGACAAGCAGCAGCAGCCAGTGAGGACAGCAGCCCTCTTTCTGTCCCTTATATTCTAGCCAGGTTACATGCCCTTAGGGCAGGCAGCACTTGCACTCAGAATGGGGCACCCTCCACCCTAGTAACGCACCATCAATCCCAGCACCACACACTCCAGATCCAGCCTCCTCCAAAAAAGCCCTGCCTGTGACCACATGAAGCTTTTGCGGGACATCTAGATGCAATCTGTAATAGTAAATCATCTCATAATCTCTGTCTACCAATTAAAAGACAGAAACTGGCAGAGTGGATTTGAACATTCAATACAACTGTGTGCTGTCTGCAATAAACTCACTTCAAATATAATGATGTGAATAGGTTGAAAAGATGAAAAAAGATGTAATATTTCAAATGTGTGGGGCTGGGGATTTAGCTCATCGGTTCGGTGGCCTGCCTTGCAAGCGCAAGGACCCGAGTTCAATCCCCGGTACCCCCCACAAAAAAAAGTGAAAAGAAATGTGACTGTGTCACATAGACTTTAGAGCAAAAAA